CCCCAAAACCCCAAAACCCCGTGACTTTTAATAAGCATTATAATCATAGTCTTTGAAATTATTGTTAATTTTAAAAGTTTATAATAAAATTAAAAGGGATATAAGTGCATTAACAATGTCTTCAACGCTTAAAACATAGATTAGTCTCAAAAAGTTAGTTGCTCTATACGGCAGTGAGCAATACCCATAGAATGAGCAGTTAAAATATGAAATAGATGAAGCAATAAAGAAGCGAGAATAGGAAAGACATTAGAAACTGAAAAGGAGAAAGCTAAGAGAGCAGGCCTATCGACAGTCTTTTGGAACAATAGAAAATGATTTATAAGCAGGAGGTATTGGTGCCAATCAAAGTTTGCACATCATGGAAAACAGCTTGAATACTTCCTAATTTGAGGTAGACCGCGAAATGCACAATAAGACAACAATTGATATCAGAAGAGTAGCTGATAGCGAGGGAAGTAATGATGCTTTACTAAATGAATGGAGTCGCTCACTTAATCATTCCAAGAATACTCTGATATCCAATTTAAGGTCAAACAGTCAGCTCAATTTTGGTAGAAATCGAAGCAAGATTGGATTAAGTGGACACGTCTCATCTTCTATGGAAATGAGTTCAAGTACTCTAGGATTCAAGTCAGAGTTTAAACCTAAATCTTATCATAATGTAACTGGCCCAGGAGACTATAACATCCCTAGTCTGACAGGCTATCAATCAATAGTTGCGGGGAGGAGAAACGGACCTAAATTTTCCTTTGGATCAAGACCTGAAAAGATCTAATTTTTCTCTAAGGAGTATCTAAGAGTAAGTCCAAAATATATTTAAATAAACTGCCATAGAATTTCATGGGTAAAGAGAGTGAGGATGCCGGCTACAACATTATATCGACAGATGTGATAAAGCATTCTGAGCCTAAAATATCAATCCCCAAAGAACCAAGATTTAAGGAACCTACTATAACCTAATATAAAGGCTAATTGTAATTCTTATTGAATATCTTATAATTTGATTAGACCAGTGTTTTATCAATCTCTGCACTTTGATGATAAAAAGTAGGAAAGGAAAAATCAATAGTATAAATCAATTGGAATGGGTTACGGCAAGCGATCAGATTTTACCATCCAGCCTTAGCTAGTTGAGAATCCTGGACCAGCAGACTATGAACATACTAATAAGATAACATTTAAGCATAATGAATCAGAGGTTAGTCTAAATAAATCAAGGATGACTATGATGGATGAGTCCCCTTATAATAACTAATCAGCTTCTAAATTACCAGGAATAACAATAAGCAAAGCAAAGAGAGATACAGATCATTATAGTAAGAACATGTATACTTAAAATATGGAATACCGCTTGATGGGCTAGGACAGTCCAGGACCAGCTGTATATAAATAAGAGGTGAATATCTCTTGGAGTCCTGAGAATCAGTACTTAAGTCGTAACCTTAGTAAGAAAGCTGTGTCTATTCCCAAATAAAGGAGGCAATTAAGTGATGTTAAAGTAGTCACGAATGCAGGGCCTTAGACTTATAATATAAATACTAGCTTTAATGCCAAAAATGTGGGGAGTAGGCATAAAGGTATCAAGATCGGGAGCTCAATCAGAGAATATGATCCTATGAAATATAGTAATAATCATAGTATTCTAATAAAAAAGGGATTGTATTGAGTCCTAAGCACTTAATGATTTGATGAATTTCTAATGTTATATATAATTATAGTGATTTGATTATTTGATTATTTAAATTCAATTTTAAAGAAAATTTAATGATGATGGGGTTTTGGGGTTTTGGGGTTTTGGGGTTTTGGGG